GACTGTTTTTTAAATGTAGACATTGTGAACAGCAGCCTAATGGACAAACCGGTTTACATGTATGTGTCACACGTACGTCTTCTGAAATAACTGAAACGGTCCCTTTCCGGGACTCGGTCTCTAGATCTCGGTATCGGCTGCACCAATTTTATTCGAACTGGTCGCAATCGAAAGATACCGATGATATTATGTAATAAAAGTGTTTTTAGATTTTTGATTGGGCTTTTAAATTCTGAGTAATTTTAATCTAAAGTTTGAAGATGTAAAAACTCGAGATAAAGCTAGTGGTAGCGTCGTGAATTTGACAGCGACATGAACGTATACACGCATCAATTAAGTCAAGCGATCATGTCAAGCAGTCAAACGGTTATATTTTTATTTTATGCACTTGGCGTCGCGACGCTACCGCGTCGCTTGATACCGCGAGATAAAGTGAGATAACACGGGTCTACCACTGATAAGCATGGAAATGCTCGGTCTATGTATATGTATATGTCGTTGGGTCAATCGTAGTGATCAAACGGGTATCACTCTAAATATTGGGTTATTCCACACATTATATATTTATTGATTATTTATTAAATATGACCTAAAAATGACTATAAAATGACGATATATTTATAATGATAATATGTCGTCATGAATGTCACATCCTTTTTACGTCATTATTTAGTATTTTAGTCCACTGACGTTAAATAACGAAAAATGATCTTAAATCGAAAGTCATAATGATGACACCTTGCTACCTGGAGAGGAGCTCACTGTTGATTTAAAAAAATGTATTGATTAGTTATATTAATTAGTTTGTTCTCTGAAGAGGGCTAAAAAGTTCGCTGAAACATGTAAGAACGTTGTTATTATAATAAAAGAGCATTATTCGAATAAATTTTTTTGTCTCTTATTACTTATTAGTGATGTTTTTAATTGCGCAACGTCTTCTGCACGCGACTCCTATTGCCCTTTATTCTCTCCAATTTGTTTTCGAAATAACTTATAATTACATACAGGATAGGATAAAAGTCTGGATATACCCAAATATCTCATAAATGATGCACTGTAGAAAAAAATGTTTCAAATAAAAGTTGTAAGGCTTAGAAAGACGCAATAGGGAGTTCGTATTAAAAAAATAATACATTTTTTTTTGTTTATTATGAAAATATGCATTATTATAAACTTATGCATAACAAAATTTGTAAGTTTTAGCAATGGATAGGTACTAAAAAACTGAAATAAAGTTTGAAATTTGAGAAAACGATTTTGATTGGCTGACAAGTGCGTGACGTCACACTGTAGTCAAAGCAAAATTAACTCTTAAAAACTCTTTATATAAATTTCAAAATTAAAATAAAATGTCAAATCAACTAGATCCAAGTTTTATTAAAGCCAATTCGCCAAATTTACCGAAAATAACGGTATTTATGGTTTGGGAATACATTGTTAATGATCGATTGATATAATGCTCCAGAAGTTCGAGGAATAAAAGCAACTTTAGATGTAATAATTTTACAAATACCTAAAATACCTTTATATTTAACATTCAATGTTTTAACTTACGTTTTAGGTTATGTTGGATATTTTTACGAACATAATTAATATTTTTACAAATTTATAATATTAAAGCATAAAAAACATATTTTATATAAAACCTACATCGAAATGATCTTCACAACAAAAATAATTCCATTTTCCTGGTACATCAATACGATGTGCACTTTTAAAACACTTTTCTCACATTTTCAGCTTGGAGCACATAAAAAAACAATTTTCCTGGTGTTTTAATTGTCGTACTTTTACACAAAGGTACAAAACACGTTTTGTATGTGTTTCTTTTGCTCATTTTTTAAATAAATTAATTTCCTGCTGAAAGAATTGTGGTTTCGTTTATATATATATATATAAGTTATAAAATGTTGTATTTTTCAAAAATCATGAGAACTCCCTAGTTATTTGATCTAGGATGGCGTTGTCAAGGTCACGTTAAGGTCAACTTAAATTTTTTAAATGAAACTCCCTACTCTTTATTTCAGATTCTTACTATGTTATGTTGAGACGTTTTCAAAACGCATATCATAAATCCTCTTCCGATGAGAACTTTCTGAATTATGAATCTAAAGTGTAAATACACTTTAAATACCACCTGCATTAGAGTTATCCAAGATGTACCATGTGGAAGCTGCTTGGTCGGATTTACATCTCGTGTGTGCGTGCGTGCGTGCGTGCGTGCGTGCGTGTGTGTGTGTGTGTGTGTGTGTGTGTGTGCGCGCGCGCGCGCGCGCGCGTGCGCAACGATTGAGCGAGTGAGTGAATTTGCGAGTAGGTAAACAAATGAACGTAAATATGCGTTATAATAAATGTTCAAACTGTTGACCTTATACAGGTTGACAGTAAGCTAATCGATAATAAAAAGTATTAAAAACGTTTTCCAATGTTTCAGGCCTAATTAATGCCACTTCAGTAACAATTCGGTGTAAGTCATTTAAAAATTTCGAGGATTAGTTTTGTAGATTCGGTCTTTTAAATAACCCCAAAAGGAAAAATTTAAAGCGTTCAAGTCAGATGAACGGGGTGGCCATTCGATTGCTCCCCCTCTTTCTTTCCATCTTTCAGGAAAAGTTTTGTTTAAAAAATTTCGCACTTCCAATCCGAAATGTGGAGCAGCACCATCTTGTTAAAACCAAACAAAACTTAAATAAAAAATTTTGCGATCACCAGGAACATGTCATCTAGGCGCATAGTCATATACTTGTCAGCCGTTAGAGTTTCATCAATAAAAAATGGCCTTATTATGTGCGTTCCAACTATTCCCGCCTATACATTTAGATTTATGGATATTGGGAGTTCATTTCTCTCGTCCAATGCGGATTAAAATCATTCCAATATCAACTATTATGCCTGTTTACTGTACTGTCTAATAAAAATGTTGTCTCGTCTAAAAAAACAATTTTATTTGTAAGGTCAGACTGTTCATCAATTTTCTACATCATTTCACAAAATTCTTCCCGACGATCAAAATCATCCGCAATTAATTCTTGAACAAGATTAATTTTGTGTGGGTGTAATTTTGCATTTATAAGAACACGACTGTGTATATGGAAATTGTCAGTAATAATAGGCGAATTTTGGCGTGCCTCTGATATAGCAACCAAAAGTAACCGCAACTAAGGCTATCTTCGTTTTCAGGTATCAGAAGAAAAAGATATGCTTAATCACGGTTACTTTTGGTTGCTATACCAGAGGCACGCCAAAATTCGCCTAATGTCAGTGTAGATTAATTTATTAAAGAGACGAATTTACTAAAGAACAAATACAGCATGAGCGTCCAGAGATGTCATAAGAGAGATGTAAATCCGACCAAGCAATTTCCACATGGTACATCTTGTGTAACTCTAATGCCAGCGGTACTTAAATTTTAAAGAATCAATTCAGGAAGTTCTCGTCGGGAAAGGATTTATGGTAAGTATTTTGTAAACGTCTCAATATAACCTATAAAAATCTAAAATAAAAAGTGTGGAGTTTCATTTAAAAAATTTAAGTTGACCCTGATGTGACTTTGACAACGCCATCCTAGGTCAAATAACTACTATTGTTAAATGCGTCTTTTTAAGCCTTACTTTTTAAATCTTTTGTCTGAGAAATACTTTTTTTCTATAATGCATCGTTTATGAGATATTTGGGTATATCCAGACATTTGTCCATCCTGTAGAATTATATAATATAGCGTGCAGAGGTAATCATTTATCGCGAGAAAAATCTACAAAATCTTTTTTACTCACGGGTTACACTGAGGGTGGCTCGAGAATCGGCAATTCCGGTCAAGCTTACAACACGGCACAAATAATCGCCGCTATCTTGAAGAACAATGCTAATAAGATCAAGTGAAATAAAACCGAAGCGAAAGACGGAAGTCGCCCGAGAACCTGTGACAAATATATACGCCAATACAAATCGGTTAACTCGATAATGTGCTGCTGAATTAAAAAAGGTATGATGTGAAAGTTTTTCACTCACTCGCGTCGAGAGTTCTGCCGTTAACATACCACTCCACCCTCATAGTGGGGTCGCCCACCGGTTCGATTCTGGCCTCGAAGTGAATTCGTCCACCTTCGATTTGATGAACATTCTTTAACGGTATAATGAAACGTGGCGGGGGGTAAATTTTATCTTCTTCGGGAGGCGGCAAACAAGGTTTCGCGCGTTCCACATGTCTCAAGTAAATCACTTCGGGGCCAGGTGCTGGTCTACAAATATATTTGTCATTTAGTTTATTTTACAATATAGACTTTTTACTAGAGAAAATAAAAGTCACTTTTATGAATAGTACCTATAAAATTCTGAATCAACGTTCTATCTGCGCTTAAATTATATATAATTAGGGATATAAAATAAAATATGGAAAGATCAATAATAATTTTGAAAAACACTTGAAATGTCTCTCACTCTGGTTCGATAACTTTCGTTGGTCGGGGTAAATTCAGGCGTCTTGGTTCCGGGGTCGTTCCTTTTGGCGTTTCTACAATGAGCCGTGCTCGAGTTGCAGTGGAGCCGGCTATATTTTGCGCTGTACACTGGTACCAGGCTGCATCTAAAAATTTGGCGCACGGGATGTCTAAAGTTGAAGCTCCGTTACCATCACTTGATATGCGTATTTCAGGACCAGGCATTATCGGTACGCCATCCTACAAAAGTTTTTGGCGTCAGAAAAATTGTAATTGTATAAGTAAATAAACTTCGAATTAATTATAATACTTTTTGCCACGTGATTCGTGGAATAGGCGTGCCGACTGCACGTGCCATAAAGACTACAGTTTCTCCTTCCTTTACTCCCGTTGTAACAAAACGTTCGACAAATTTCGGCGCAACTACCTGTTCTTTTTCGATAACGCTCAAGTTACATTGACAAGAAGTTTCGCCGGCTTTATTTCGTGCAATGCACATTACTATACCAGCGTCAGTGCGATTCACATTCGTGATCATCAACGAACTATTACCAGATTCATTTACAAGGATTTTATGAGTCATATCATTGGCGACTTGTTGACCATTTATATACCAAATGACTTCAGGATAAGGACGGCCAGTTACGCGACAGTCGAATCTGAAATATTGTTATTTATTAATGTCTCAAACATTACTCATCGAAGATGATATTTAAGAGCAAACGAAAATCTAGAAAGATACTAAAAATAAAACAAAGTCGAAGCGTACCGCGTCATTTTGCCTTCAGTAGCTTCCTTATCTGTGATGATACGAACAAAATTCGGTGGTAGAACTTTGCTGGAATCAACAGATTCATTGATTGAATCTACTTGTTGAGTCTTAATAAATTCCTTTTGTTGCGCTTGATATGGAACTTGATCTACTTGATCGCTGGATTCAATTGCCAGATAAGCGGAGCTAACGGTGCAACCTTGAGGATTCTCAGATAATAATGTATAATAACCGCTGTCTTTCGACAGAGCATCTCGAATTCGTAAAGTAGCTTGTTGATTTGAGTAGCCTGTCTCTATTCGTTGAGAATTTCGGATTCTCTGACCATTTTTAAACCATGTCAACTACAACAATTTTATGTATATATTAAGTTAATAAACTTATACGTTAGATATTTTATAAACAATTTAAATATTTAAATATACAAATTAATTTAATATTTTATAAACAATTTAAATATTTAAATAAACAAATTAAATATTTCGTTTAATGATACCAAATGACATAGAAATACGACTTCGGGATAAAAATAATTATATACATATATAATAGCGTTAAAGAGCAAAATGGTATCATAAATTCATTGGTATTTCAGTTCTTTCAATGCAACTTAAACATACTCTTGGTTTTGGATTGCCAGTTATCTTTGCAGTGAAGACAGCATCTGATCCTTCAACGATCTTCGAGTTTCTCGGTTTCTGAGTAATTTGTGGAGGTGCGACCGGGCCCAGAGTACGATCAACTACCGTAGAAATTTGCAAGTCGGATTCATTCGTGAAACGGCGAGTAATTGATTCACGGAACTCCAATTCGCGCAACAATCTGTATTCAAAGGTGTCAACCTGCGCATTTAAAAAGTAAGAAATATTATTTAAACGTTCTTATATTGTTATTTTATCAAAGCAGCAAGTATTTAGTTATATAATAGCTGTAATACCTTAAAATCTTCAATGTTTGTACCATTAACGTAACTTCGTTTATCGGTTGTTTGTTGATAACTGCGTTGAAAGATTTGTTGACTTCCACTTTGCGTTTTTTGGTCGCTTGTTTGAAAACTTTGCGAAATTTCTTTCTTGTAAGTATCTGTTAGTTGTTGCGCTGGAGGGTCAAATCCTTCTGGCTGTATATAAACTGAACAAATAGCTTCGCCTGAAAAATAAGGAAAACATGTAGCTATTTTCATTCGTTTTGTATTTTAACATTGGTCTAGTAAAAGTATACAGAATATTTAAAGAATATGTATTCTAAGTGGAAACTATAGAAAAAATCTCTACCATATTGGTTTTTTGCACTGCATGTGTACTCGCCCTCATCCCCCGGACCGATCTGATTAATTTGGAGTGTAACAATTCCAGAATTTTCATTGTAAGACATTCGAAACTTTCGTGATTCTAGCAATGGCATTCCTTTGTGTGTCCAAGAAACCGATGGTTTCGGATTACCTCGTACACAACCCTCAAAAATCGCATTACCGCCTTGCGCGAATCTCGCATTTTTGAAGATTCGCTCGAAAATCGGTGGTGAGGGATCCCCGGGTTTACCCGTAAATCTGAATGAGAGTGAAATAAGAATTTAATAATGAGGTATTAAAAATATTATTAATAATATAGCTATATTTCTTTTATAGCTACAACAGCGCTATAATTAATAAAGTATCGTAATACTTACACTGGTACCGTTGGTGTCGTTTGCATAACGATCTCTCTTTGAACTGCAAAAATAAAAGAAATAAATGAAAGTTTATTCCTTATATGAGCGCGTTTGTGCGTGTGCGTGCGTGCGTGCGTGCGTGTGTGCGTGCGTGCGTGCGTGCGTGCGTGCGTGTGTGTGTGTGTGTGTGTGTGTGTGTGTGTGTGTGTGTGTGTGTGTGTGTGTTACAAATAATATTAAACATAAAAATTAATCTATTTCATCAGGAATTAAATTTAATTCCCTCTTCCCTATGGAAAACCAAAACTATAAACTTCCATATATTTTTCGCAATAATCCGTTCTCAGACTAACGAGTAAATTGGTTTAAATTACGATGCGTTTCAATGTAGACATAATTTAATGAAAAAATGCGGCATAATCATCGCGCGTAACGACGACAGGAAAAAAACAGCTCGTGAACGGTTCGTTTCCTCGATTCGTTCTACCCTAATTGCAAAGTACGACAGAAGTTATACGAGGAAGAAAGATGTACATACATAAGTGATTTAAATGTGATCATGTACAATTTTGTTCAAGCAATAAGAATAAACTTTAGAAGATAATCAGATAAATGAAATCTACGGACGCAAGAAAATATATATATGTAAAAGGATGAATTTAAATATTAACATAAAAAAACAAGGACATTAATTAAAATTTTTATGTTTACAAATATTTCTATAGGTTAGAAAAAAAAGAAGAAAAAAAGAAAAAAGAAAAAAGTTAAAAATAAGAAAATAGGTTAGAAATAAGATTTAATGATTTAGTCTATGTGTGTATAACAGACGAAGACTAATCATTGATTTATCGTTTTGTACATATAAAACAATACATTCATATTTTACACGCATTTTAATATGAAATTTGGTGTGTATAGACAGATTTTCCTTAATTAATTTATTAAGTCTATGGATTAATTATAAAATTAATTATTTAATTATAAAATTAATCATTTGTTTAATTATAAAATTAATCATTTTTTCATTATATGCGATATCACAACATTTAGCATCGTTTTTACGATTTGTGAGTTACGGGAGGGGGGGGGGGTTGGACGAAAGACGTAATGTGCTGCTACAAGCACAGGATTGTATTTTTGCATTTGGGTAGGGATCACATTACCATGAACCATTTTAGGCACAACTATTTTTGCTCAGCGCTGCGCACTGCGGCAAGTCGCGACGCGATGCGTCTACGCCGTCCATGGACCAATCGCGTTTTCCGTTATGCAAAGCAGTCTCTGACCAAAATAAAATCTGATCTAATATTTCTCTTTGTCTCATATCTGCATATGTTTTGTGTATTTTATATCCATATAATTAAATTTTTTAATTCAAATCATTATATTTTGCTACTTTTTTTTTATTCTTTCCTATTTTTACTTACTTTCTACCATTCTTCCGTCATTATTCTTTTTGATCGAACTTGACTTAGAGATGTCAAGACATGTACTACGATCAGCTGTTTCTAAAGCATTTAAGTTTCATTAAATTTATAATAAATATTAGAGAGCAATTAGCCGACTTTTATAAAATTTTACATAATAAAATAAATATATTTATAGAAACAAATTATTCTATAATATGCTTTATTGCATTTAATTTTAGGGTATATAATTGCATGTTTGTAATATATTTATATTGTATATATATATATATAGGGAAGAATATCCTAAATCAGACCATGTTCCAAATCGGATCTTTTTAATTTAAATAAATATGGTTAAGAAAATTTGCGTGCTATTTATAATGTAAAGTCCTTATGAGACACCGAACATATGACAGCAGTTTGGCAGTATTCTGTTATAACGTTCATAGAATAGACGCAAATATGTATTTTCGGCTATCATGCGAAAATTTTTTTAAAAAAGAAAATCCTTGTAAATCATTATTTAAAAGATAAAAATTTGAACGGTAATTGATTTGAGATAATGAAAGGGTGTAGAATTCAAAATTATTAAGAGTTTTGTGATTACTTTTGCGGTTTTCATTGTAAAATTTGTTCCAATAGTTCAAAAGAATTCATGTCAAAATCGGACCTCTCTTTGGGTGTTCAAATCGGACCTATACAAAAAATACTAAAAAGACGAGTAAGTCAGTCAATTCATCGAAGAAAAAAGATTCGCCACAACCTGGTTGTAGTACTGGTGATCGACCGACCAGATCTGGTCTAAGGAACACTAAATCAGTAAAATGTCATGTGTCATCAGACTCAGATTGATGGAATTTTTTTTAATTTTAATTCTAATAATATAAACTATATTTTTATGTTTGAGTCTTAAATTGCTCGTTTTTACTCAATACTAACAAAAATTAATGAAAATATTTTAAAATTCTATCTAAAAGTCCATAAAAATAGGAGAGGTCCGATTTTGATATGGAACTCATAGTTCCAAATCGGACCGGAAAATGCATTTTTACATTTTCCATTATAGTTCAACACAGGTAAGAGATACGTCAAAATTGTCTAAAGCAAAAATGAAGGAAATTAAATGATCTTTCGAACGGCGCCATTGGTTTTATGATCGGACTTTATTTACGCTTTATAGAGAACAAAAACTACAAATAGGTCCGATTTAGACCACTCTCCTATATATATAATTTTATATATATATATAATATTTTATTAGAAGTATTTGCAAATATTTCTTAGAGATATTTTTATATTAAACATTTATTCTCTTTCTTTGCGTTCGTGAAAGACGCTTTAGCTACTAGCGTAACGGAGTTGTTTACTGTACTTCATTGTCTTTTAGTTTTACGCCTGTGAAATATAATCCAACACACACACACTTCGATGCACATCGATGTAAGTAAAATTTATATATTTGTCAGTGTTATTTGGCAGCCATAGCATTCTCTAACACGTTCATACTCATCAATTCTTCATTGTATAACGCAGTTGGCAAACGCGTTTCAATGAAGCTATTTTAGATAACAGATATTTAAATATAATTTTATATATTACAAAATTGATTTACGAGAAAAAATATTGTATGTATAATACAGAATATTATAAATGTATATATTATATTCTCCAGATTTTTGTAAGAGTTTTCAGCATTACAGTTTTCTATGAAATCATTTGCATTGCAACACCTCTTTTCAAATAAACAAATTAAGTGTGGTATACAATAATATTAGTATTGACAATGCAGTGGATTGAATTAAATTGAAAAAAAGTTCTTTATTTATAAAAAAATATTAAGATTAAGAGAAGGCTCGACAATAATAAATAAATATTAATATAAATTAACGGGTCGAAATAAAAAAATATTACAATTAAAAAGAAAAACAAAGAAAATATATTTAAATTAATGATAAATAATCAGACGTTTCAATATCGATCGGGTCATTCTCAATATTTAATAACAAGTTATTAAAATATTAACGAAAATTTAACCTATAATAAGAATATTAATGGAATTTTAACAAAGAATCATAATCTTAAATAAGTTTTTTAACATATGTTGATCATTAGAATGCTTGCCAAATGTAATCAAGTCCGAATTAAAGTTGTCCATTATTAAAAAGTCGTTGAGTAGTCAAAGATCGTAAAATTTAAGAAACATAATTATGTTGCGGTACTTCGTTGGAGACACGTCTATGTATTGTCTTTTCTATTTAAACCTTTTGCAACTTACTCCAATAGACTTTACATAATATTTCTTTATTTTAGATAATTCTTTGTTTTTCTTCTTAATTATAATATTTTTATTTCGACTCGTTGCCCGTTAAATTATATTAATATTTATTCTTTATTTATACATAACTGGTTTTTAATCCTCCAATTGATTATTTAAATTTATTCTTATAGAGTCTTACTATTACTTAATATTTTCAAATATGAAAACTCTTTAATTGTGTTTGAAACAACAGGAAAATCTTCTATTTGTTAGAATTAAAATTTTTAAAGTAAATTATTAATAGAAAAAAATTGTAATGAGTACGTTTCGTCTTGATACGATACGTAAAGCAATACCATACTCCTCCGATAGCACACGTGAAAGAATTTTTGAAACGATCATGTCTAAAGTGTGAAGAACTATCTTTAGAAGCTCTCGCACGGACTGTGCTCCTTGCGCAAAAATAGAACACGTATTCGTTGACGGAACATCTACTATAGAAGAGATATATTAAAATTAAATTGAATTTATTTTTGTTTCTCTTTTTGGTATAAAAAAAATTTTAAAAAGTAAATATCGTGAAAATATGCACCTACACTAACTACAAGAACTTGCAAATAAGTGTCTAGAGAAATTACAATTAAAAAGTCTAGAGAAATTACATTGTAAAATATAATTTTACAAATTTATTAATGCAATAAACCCTGAATTTGTTAAGATAAATTTTTGTAGAGTACTTCTTGCTTAAATTCTTCATATTCAATAAGCTGTTGCTCAAGGATATCACATTTCATGATTTTTCAATAACCACAACTGACCTCTCTGCTGACTGGTGATCTGTTGTCTTTCCATTCGTTGCTGAATGTACTGTTGTTGTTCTTGTACGGTAACTTGTTGCTGCTGCTGTTGCGTCTGTGATTCTTGAAATTGTTGTCTCTTCATCTTGGATCGAGAAATTCAATAATTGTGAGTCGTTTGGATGGCAAAATTGTAACCAACTATATGACTTATTAATAGTAAAGTGCTAATTAATCTGAGGAATCTAAAAAGATCTCCTTTCTTCTCTTTCAACGTTGTGTTTTATCACTTGAGATTTAACAAATAAATTCTTGATGCACAATGATGAATTTGAAGCAAATCACTCGCACTTATTTCGCTTTACTTTGCAAAACACGCAGTTTTGCTGGTAACCGCGGCTCAGTTCAATCAGTCGGCAGAAATCAAGTCATCGTCAAAAGTCTTGTCCCCGTGATTCTTTAAACCAAGACGTCGGTCGAATGCGAATTGGATGGGTTACGACTTGACGCTTAGCTAAAGCTTAAGAAGATGGTGAGGATGTCGCGTGATGACGCCTCTAGGGTGGGGACGTTTGAACGCTCCAACGTTCAATACGTGCAGAAGTTGTTTAGGAGGAACAAGAATATAGAATGTACGAGTCAACTCAACATATTCAAAAAGAGAGAAAAGAATTATTCAATATGTAAATATCATATGATATGTGTAAATTGTACCATTTTCCTTGCTATTCAATTTTTATTTTACAAATTACACTTGCTATTGTTTATTTTTATGATAATCACTGGTTGATATTGAAAAGAAAGGTTGCCTTACATTAGGAAAATATAAAATGCAGAAAGCCAAAATTTGCTTGTTCTTTTTATAGGTAGTTACTTTATACATCTTGTCGAATAGAGCAGTAAAGTAATAATAAAGTCTCACGCAGCGTTCTTATATTTACTGACAGCCATCCACACATCTCCACATAATTGCTCTCATATCTCTCTTTCGTTGTTCTTATCTGTAAAGTCTGGATTCTCAAATTTAAATGCGCTCAATGAAAGCATCCTTCTTTTCTTTCCCTTTTTCACGTTTTTTTATTTCTTTGTACATACCTCTTTATTAAATATATGAACAAATTTTGAAATTTTTCTTCTTAGTATGTTTTTTTTATTTATGATGTACATACATGTTGTATGTATGTTCAAGATTTACGCAATCTCATCATTCTCTCTTTCTCTCTCTTTTTTTTTAATTTATTCGATACATTTATTATTTTTTTCTTGATGGAATTTTGCGGTAGAAATCATTCTCGTTGTATGTGCCTAGCTTCAGCCAAGTTTAGCACAAACAGGCCCCAATTGCGACTCTGCAAGAGGACATCGCCTGCGCACTGTGCTTGTAAATTCGAACTAGTAGCGCTATAACCACATTCTAAAAACATATGCACGCACATTAATCAACAACGTGGGAGATCTTCTTATAACGACGTGAATTCTGTCTTCGAGATATTTTTAAGATTATTCAGGAAATTGTGAAAAAAAGTGTTTACTTAAAATTTCATACACTTAGATACAAACTACAAATATAATTATAGTCTTCTATTTATATCCAATGAGAATGATTCTATCATTAACGTTTCATCAACGAATCGGAGCGAAACACGCACCGATTGTAATTTACTTGTATGCTGTTCTCTCACGTAATTTATACGAATTAACGATACGTATCTTTAAAGTGTAATGTACCTATTCTTTTTTTATATCGCAATTAATGTACATCAGTTTTCTAAATATTTATTGGTATTAATAAAAAACACGTTAATGATTAAAGTGTACGCATAGGAAGAGGAAGTATAAGTACCATTCCGCACTTTTGCGCCAAGAACATCAATAAAATCTTGAAGGAGGTGGATCACGCCTGAATCATAGCATTTCGTCTAAGTGCCGCATAGCGAAACGTCTATTTCGGGACTTTGTGAAATAATCTCACTCGTGCGACATGACGAAAGAATGTTTGCATTTAATAATTTTATGATTCATGTACTGAGTACGAACATAACATATCGTATACTAAAATGTGAAATTAGGACATTTGAGAGCAAAAAACGCTGCTATTATAGCGTGAGCAATAAGGCTATGACTTTATTGTAAAATAAGTTATATGTTTTGACTTTATTTCGAGTTTTCTTCAACGAGATGTATACAATATTAGGTAAGTATAAGCGTCTTCCTCCAAAATAAAAGCCATTTCTGAATTGAATAATACAAAGTGATAATATTTCATTTTTTGAGAAAGTACCCTTAACAAATAAAAATTATATAAATTTTACAAGAATGCACATATTGTCGATGGACTATTTTCATCTCGAAGATTTAAACTAGCAGTGTTTAATAAACGAGTAAAGCAGATAAGTTCATATTTCGACTAAATATCGTATATTGTTGCAAACATATATGTATCTATATATAAAATTATACATATATATATGTATATATACATATATTGAAAAAAATTTTACTAAATTTTAAAAAATATTGGTTTAAATATTATTAAAAGAAGATTTGCTTACAGTAAATAAATATTTAATAAAATTTTATAAAATTTTGTTCAGTGTATAATACATACGCGCACACGCACACACACACACACACACACACACACACACACACACACACACACCCACACACGCACGCACACGCGCACGCGCACGCGCACACGCACACGCACACGCACAAGCACACGCACACACACACACACACACACACACACACACACACACACACACACACACACACACACACACACGTATATGCATACATATATATATGTATATATATATATACATTAGGATGATACAAAAAAATTTTTTTTAATCGGCCTCTTAGCTCAGAAGCTTCCATTTCATGCCAAAAGGACTTCCCTAAATTTTTATTTAAAAATATTAAAATTTAGAGATCGCTAGTGAACAATTTCTAAATCAAAATTTTGATTTCCTTAATACATGTTTGATTTGATGCAAAAATTACTTAATCTGGATTTTAAATGTGGTTATATGGTACTGTATGTTTTTTTGATCGCTGAAAAAACGATGCAATAATTCAATTAGCTCTACGATATACGCCTTAAGAAATATTGCCCGATTAATGTGAAAAATGATCAAATTTCAATTTCAAGGTCGATTTTAGCAAGGTTTTAAGCGTCCAAAAGAGTTGCTACTTCTTTTAAATTGTAGATGTGTTTTCCCAGAACAAGATCCAGTCGGAATTTTCCCGGAACTTCCTACAGGACCTTTAAAAGTTTTATTTAACTAAACTAATACAAGTAATAGAATATTCTTTGTATTATAGTAATTGAATATTATATAATTTTTGATGAATATTTACAGTGGACTGAAAAGCACATCTGTTTCCCCTCAAAAAATTCACACGAATGCATTTTGTGATAGCTCTATACTGCATTCGAATTCTGTTAATACACCACATCATGAGTAGAAATGAATCTAGTAAATCTGAGTCACGATCGACCTAGTCACTATAGATAGCATCCACTAGATAAGTTATCTATCTAGTCACTGGACAGATACTAGATACAGATATTTCTTAGTATAAAAAAGTCTGTCTGTATTAAGATGATCATATGTATAAAAATAACTTCAAAATTCCCTTCTCTTCTTCAGTATATCCAACAGTTCCCAACTTTATGTCTGATTTGACTAAGACTAACTCGAACATGTACTTGAATACCTCATTATGTATGTCAAGGTTAATTCTTATATACATATTCATTTCTATTTCATTATCTTTCAATAATAAAATGTATTACATTAAAATAGTCAATTTGGTATAAGAATTCTCTTGAAATTAGTACTGATCTTTTGTGATTTATTTTTAAACATAAAAAACTGTTGTAGAGTCTGATCTCTCATTTATGCCTGTTTCCATGCAGATTAACTTTAACCTCGGTTTAACTTACTGTTAATCTTTTTCTAATTTTTAGAATTAGAGAAAAATGAAAAGCGAATTGAACCGAGTTAAAATTAATCTGCATTGGTGGAAATGGGCATTAGGGCGACTGTTACCAACGCCGATTAACTTAATCGACGATTAGTCCATTGGAATTGACCAATCGCATCTGTCATCAAAACTAAATGATAAATGCGATTGGTTAATTCCAATGGACTAATCGTCGATTAAGTTAATCGGCGTTGGTAACAGTCGCCCTAATGCCCATTTCCACCAATGCAGATTAATTTTAATCTCGGTTTAATTCGCTTTTCATTTTTCTCTGATTCTAAAAATTAGAAAAAGATTAACAGTAAGTTAAACCGAGGTTAAAGTTAATCTGCATGGTGGAAACAGGGATAAATCTTGATAAACTTCATACTTTTTCCAGCTTTGGACACAATATACACCAGGGCCAGATACATTAGCTCGGATATTTTAATCGTGGAGAAGGAATTTTTATTCTGTGAAACTATTATGAAGAAATTAGACAGGAACGAAAACGTCAAAAACGCTTGTTTTTGACGTTTTCGTCGATAATACAGGCGGGTCCAGCATCGCCTTAAAGACTTAAAACTACGTACGTGCCGCACATGCAGCGATCGTGGCGCTAAGAGACGGCTAATATCTCAAATAGCGGAGCAGATGTCGGTAACAAGCGCTCGCTTACAGTAGACATACTGGAAAAGTACCGTTCAGATACCATTACCAAGAAAGAGAAATCATAATAAAGTTCTTAATACTAAATATTAGAAAGAAGAGCCACAGCTGCAGATTTCTTCAAATTAAAGAAGCTCCCACAAATGACGCTTATTCGGCTCAAAACTCGACATTTTCAAACGAAAAAAGATGATGTTGATACAAAATCGCTAATATTTGAAGGTTATGTTGTTGCCAGATGTCCAACTTTACGATATGACGTTTTACAGCAGACAATTTTAACCATAACATACTGGTGACGCCATCTTTTGTCAAACGACGGAAACTTATTTATACACCTAATAGTTGAAGTTATTTTTTAACACTAATGAAACCTACTGTATTCATGCGAAACAACTCTTACTCCACCTCTTCTTCTGCGAATGAGCTCGCAATTTCCATGTCACTTTATATTATAAAGTGTACGCGTGAATACACCCTGCGGGGGGCTCCACTACTGTTAAAAATAACCTAACCCATTTATGCCCATTTTTCACCAATGCAGATTAACTTTAATCTCGGTTCAATTTGCTCTTCGTCTTTTTCTAATTCTAAAAATTAGAAAAAGATTAACAGTAAGTTAAACCGAGATTAAAGTTAATCTGCATTGATGTATTTTGCCCA